ACTTAAGACTAGACTATAGACTAGACTATAGACTAGACAATAGACTACACTATAGACTACACTATAGACTAAACAAGACTAGACTATAGACTAGACAAGACTAGACTATAGGCTAGACTATAGACTAGACTATAGACTATACTATAGACTATAGACTAGACTATAGACTAGACTATAGACTAGACTATAGACTAGACTATAGACTAGACTATAGACTAGACTATAGACTAGAATATAGACTAGACTATAGACTAGACTATAGACTAGACTATAGACTAGACTATAGACTATACTATAGACTATAGACTAGACTATAGACTAGACTATAGACTAGACTATAGACTAGACCATAGACTAGACTATAGAAGAGACTATAGACTAGACTATAGACTAGACTATAGACTAGATTATAGACTAGACTATAGACTAGACTATAGACTAGACTATAGACTAGACTAGACTATAGACTAGACTATAGACTAGACTATAGACTAAACTATAAACTAGACTATATACTAGACTATAGACTAGACTATAAACTAGACTACAGACTAGACTATAGACTAGACTATAGACTAGACTATAGACTAGACTATAGACTAGACTATAGACTAGACTATAGACTAGACTATAGACTAGACTATAGACTAGACTATAGACTAGACTATAGACTAGACTATAGACTAGACTATAGACTAGACTATAGACTAGACTATAGACTAGACTATAGACTAGACTATAGACTAGACTATAGACTAGACTATAGACTAGACTATAGACTAGACTATAGACTAGACTATAGACTAGACTATAGACTAGACTATAGACTAGACTATAGACTAGACTATAGACTAGACTATAGACTAGACTATAGACTAGACTAGACTATAGACTAGACTATAGACTAGACTATAGACTAGACTATAGACTAGACTATAGACTAGACTATAGACTAGACTATAGACTAGACTATAGACTAGACTATAGACTAGACTATAGACTAGACTATAGACTAGACTATAGACTAGACTATAGACTAGACTATAGACTAGACTATAGACTAGACTATAGACTAGACTATAGACTAGACTATAGACTATAGACTAGACTATAGACTAGACTATAGACTAGACTATAGACTAGACTATAGACCAGACTATAGACTAGACTATAGACTAGACTATAGACTAGACTATAGACTAGACTATAGACTAGACTATAGACTAGACTATAGACTAGACTATAGACTAGACTATAGACTAGACTATAGACTAGACTATAGACTAGACTATAGACTAGACTATAGACTAGACTATAGACTAGACTATAGACTAGACTATAGACTAGACTATAGACTAGACTATAGACTAGACTATAGTCTAGTCTATAGTCTAGTCTTTATGCGTTTTAGCTTAAATCAAACCGGGCTTAAATCAAACCAAATATGTATGTATGTACACTGTAAGGCTAAAGACCTTTCCAGTTTCAAACGATTGATACAGTGGCAGCAACCATCTTTTATAGTTGTGTTTACAAAATTTCTATTAAAATACAAAGAAATGCAAAAGTAAAATTTAGTTGATGCAACTACTATTTTTAAATCTTTATTCATAATTTATTACCTTATTATTTTCCCTACCACACCACTGTACACTATTTATCCGCTAAAATACCTAATGACATCAGCATATTTTCAATTGAAATCTAAGCGTTACAAATACAAGCTAAAACAGTAGCAAAATTACAACAACAAAGAGTTTTAATTAATATTTTTAAACGTTTTATGACTTCCAAACCCGCTGTAATAACCGCAGACAACCACCGCACATAACATTTTTCGCCAAATCAGCTAAAATTTCAGTAGACAATATCTTACTTCCCCATTTCTTTTAAGAGATTTTATTTTTTCTTCAATAAAAGTCATTAGAGAAACAAACATTTTGAACGTTTTCATCATTTTGAGTGAAAATTAATATTTTTCCTAGGTTTCAAGTTTCCATCCATACCTACATATATTGAAAATAGAAAAACAAACTGAAATAAAATAGACGGGGTAAATACTATATACTAGTTAAAGTCTTTGCCTAAGAACGACTAACACAATAACAGACATAAGTTTGATTTTTTTTTATAAATTTTCCTTTAAACTAACAAAAGGTAAAATATGTATGAATATAATTTTTTTTCTGTTAAACAATAGTTTTGCCACAATATACAACAAGATTCCAGTTACAAAATAACAGCTTACTATGAACTTACAACGTAAACATACAACAATAACCAATACTTGTAGACGGTGGCTCGGTTGTTGCTATGAATGCAACTGCCACTTGTACAAACAGACTGGCTGACTAAATGTGTATAAAAAAAGTAGCATGACAATTTTTAATATTTTACAAACATTACAACAATGAACGGTACAATAACCGGAAAAAGTGCAACTGATTTGTCGGTTTTTATTATTGTTGAAAGAAAAAAATAAATAAAAAATATGTTATTACAATTTTATATTTTTAACATTGCTGTAATCATTGCTTAGACTACTGTGTATTTTATTTACCAAAGTTTATTATTAAAAGTTAACAAACCATAAATTAAATAATTATAAAAAATATCTAAAAATTAAAAAAAAAATAAAATTAAAAAAACTCTTTGTCAGGTGTGGGGTTCGAACCCACGCTCCCTCTCGGGAACCAGAGCTTAAATCTGGCGCCTTAGACCGCTCGGCCAACCTGACTTGTATAATGTACTTGTCAAAAGTGTTTTATAAATATTTGTCTCTACAATCATTTTGCACAAGTAGAATGATCTAAAAATAGCATGTTTTTTTTTTTTTTTTTTTGATAATTTAAGTGAGAGAAAGAGCTAAAGAGAAATTTATTATTGTTGTTATTTTTTTTTGCACAATGATGATTTATTTTTCTTTTATTGTTGTTTATTTTATTGCAAATTAAATACATAGAATAATTAGAATTTATTTGTGGGGTTGCCGGGTTTGAGAAATGGGGAAAGTAAATGTTTATTGAACATTCGAATTTGGAATAAAATTTATTATAAATATTGAAAATCAGACCTATTGTTATATCTTTTTCTAAAATAAAAGTTCTATAGGTTGTGGGGAAGAATAGAAGGAATCGTGTTTGTGGACATTTGATTTAAATCTTGTTACACAAATCTTTGTACACATGTCAGACATGGAAAATTTAAATTTTGAAATAGACTATAGTCTAGATTAAAGACTATACTATAGACTAGAGTAGACTATGGACAAGCGTATAGACTTCAATATATACTAGACTATAGGCTTCAATATAGACTTCAATATATAACACTATAGACTAGACTATAGACTAGACTATAGACTAGACTATAGACTAGACTATAGACTAGACTATAGACTAGACTATAGACTAGACTATAGACTAGACTATAGACTAGACTATAGACTAGACTATAGACTAGACTATAGACTAGACTATAGACTAGACTATAGACTAGACTATAGACTAGACTATAGACTAGACTATAGACTAGACTATAGACTAGACTATAGACTAGACTATAGACTAGACTATAGACTAGACTATAGACTAGACTATAGACTAGACTATAGACTAGACTATAGACTAGACTATAGACTAGACTATAGACTAGACTATAGACTAGACTATAGACTAGACTATAGACTAGACTATAGACTAGACTATAGACTAGACTATAGACTAGACTATAGACTAGACTATAGACTAGACTATAGACTAGACTATAGACTAGACTATAGACTAGACTATAGACTAGACTATAGACTAGACTATAGACTAGACTATAGACTAGACTATAGACTAGACTATAGACTAGACTATAGACTAGACTATAGACTAGACTATAGACTAGACTATAGACTAGACTATAGACTAGACTATAGACTAGACTATAGACTAGACTATAGACTAGACTATAGACTAGACTATAGACTAGACTATAGACTAGGCTATAGACTAGACTATAGACTAGACTATAGACTAGACTATAGACTAGACTATAGACTAGACTATAGACTAGACTAGACTATAGACTAGACTATAGACTAGACTAGAATATAGACTATAGACTACAGACTAGACTAGACTAGACTATAGACTAGACTATAGACTAGACTATAGACTAGACTATAGACTAGACTATAGACTAGACTATATACTAGACTATAGACTAGACTATAGACTAGACTATAGACTAGACTATAGACTAGATAGACTAGACTATAGACTAGACTATAGACTATACTATAGACTAGACTACTATAGACTAGACTATAGACTAGACTATAGACTAGACTATAGACTGACTATAGACTAGACTAGAATATAGACTATAGACTACAGACTAGACTATAGACTAGACTATAGACTAGACTATAGACTAGACTATAGACTAGACTATAGACTAGACTATAGACTAGACTATAGACTAGACTATATACTAGACTATAGACTAGACTATAGACTAGACTATAGACTAGACTATATACTAGACTATATACTAGACTATAGACTAGAGTATATACTAGACTATAGACTAGACTATAGACTAGACTATAGACTAGATTATAGACTAGATTATAGACTAGACTAGACTATAGACTAGACTATAGACTAGACTATAGACTAGACTATAGACTAGACTATAGACTAGACTATAGACTAGACTATAGACTAGCCTATAGACTAGACTATAGACTAGACTATACTGTAGACTAGAATATAGTAGACTATATCAAAAAGTATTGAAATATGTACTAAAGTACAAGTTCGTTAATATCAGAGAACAGTGAAATACGACGCTGCTCTGCACGGTTTCCAATTGTATTTCAGAAATTTCTAATGGTACTTTTGAAGTTATTATTATTATTTTTTTGTTTGTTTTTAAACTTTCTTTTTATTAATATTACTCTGAAAAAATAAAAGTGCATAATGCAATATTTTCCTCATTTTTTTCAGATCTATTAATAAATAATATTGTTCCAGCGAAGATATTTCAATTAAGGATGTAAGTATAAATATTTAACCTTATAAGTTCTAAAAATTTTGCATCTAAATCGTACTTTAATATATTAATTTAAGTTATGGATTAAATCCTTATTTTCTAGAGCAAACTAAATTTACCCAAAATAGGATAAATGTACAATATAAATTACTCATCTATTGACTAAAAGCCAATACATTTATTATTTGATGATGATCTAAATTAATCTTATACAACTCCCCAACTAAAAGCAATTTTTTGTATTGCCATTTACAAAAATATTGGCATAGATTTAAAGTGCTAAGCGTTTAACCTTGTCCACAAAAAAATTGGTCTATACACATTCATATTTTATTCCACATTATCCCCCAAGTTTTTGTGTTTCCGCGCAAATGCTTACATAAATTTTTTAATATTTTACTCCTTTTTTTACATTTACATTTATAGAGAATGTTTACTAAGCGGTAAACTCCAGCCCTTTTTCAGTGCAACATACTGCTTTTTATAACCGGAAGTTGTTTTACTTTAATTTACTTTATGAATAGACTTTTATGGAATAAAGGTTCCACAACGAACAACAAACGAACCAAGTTTTATTACACCCAAAACAAGAGAAAAACAAATAGAAAAGGAGTCACTTTGTAAAAATGATTCCCTTTTGTTCTATTTTAATAGCGAATTTTTATTTAAATTTTTTACTGCAACTAGGGAGAGCTGATTTCTTTGTTTTGCTACGAATTGGAGCAGAAATTTTTTGTAATTTACCAGAGTCAATTATTTGGCTTTGTATGGAAGTAAAAAAAATAAAGCTATAGACAAGAAGTGTGCTAGTATTTATTGTTTGACATACAAACACCGACTTACTTTGAATATTCTATACCTATATACAAAAAAAGTTTGTCTCAAACCAAGACGCATGTACTTTTAATTTGTTTGTTAAAGTTTTTTTTATTCTAAATAAAAGGGTTACGAAGTGCACAGCCAACAGATATGTATAATCAAATGTGTGTAGACTTTGAAGTTCGTATAAACAGGTGGAAAAAAGTTGAAGTGATGAACATTAAGAAAAAAGGGGAAAACATTTTCTGTCAGGTGTGGGGTTCGAACCCACGCTCCCTCTCGGGAACCAGAGCTTAAATCTGGCGCCTTAGACCGCTCGGCCAACCTGACTTGCGATTAACTTCGTTTTGTTTAGAAAAAAGAAAATGAGAATTATACAACTTTCCACGAAAGAGAGAGAGAGATAACGCAAAAGCAAATTCTTTTAAAAGAGAAAATATTTAAAAGCTTAAATGAAACTAGTTTTAATTAAAAGCAAATTAAATTTACAGCTAGCTATTTAAATTTAAATCGGCTTTTTAAAAGAATCCTGGATTTTGTTTTAGGAATAGGGATAAATATTAATTTAAAATATTAAAAAAATACAAAAATAACTGTTTTGTCAGGTGTGGGGTTCGAACCCACGCTCCCTCTCGGGAACCAGAGCTTAAATCTGGCGCCTTAGACCGCTCGGCCAACCTGACATGTTATGCTTAGCTTTTAAATTGACTTACAAGTATATACATTTTCAAATGTTATATAAAGATTAAGGGTATTCACAAAATATTGTATAATTGTATGTCGTAAAAGAAATAGCCTTACAATATTTGTATTTTTTGTTTTTTTCTGTGGTCTTTAAATGTTATGTAAGGATTAAGGGTATTTACAAAATATTGTATAATTGTATGTCGTAAAAGAAATAGAAATACAATATTTGTAATTTTTGGTTTTGTCTGTTATTATATATGTTCTAAAAGTTCATAAACTCTACATATTTCTTTTAAGATATATTGGAATTTATTTAACCAATAGGTATAATGGTCATCAAGATTGGGTTGAATGATGGTCATCAAGATTGAGATTGAATGGGATCCTTTACGATTTTAGGAAATATGATAAAATTTGAAATTGATTTTAAATAGTTTTGGATACATCCAGTGGTAGTAGTAGCAAGGCGAATCGATTGTAAGGTAATATCATTTCAACAGCTGATTGTTTTTTTATCCTGAAAAATTATCGAGAGAACGTCAGAGGTCATATAAAACAAAACTATTCCACAACCGATACTTTCAAACTCCATATATAAACAAACTAAGAAACTCTCCACCTTCAACTAGATTCGCCTTAATATATTGATTATCTCAGACCCAAACCTATATTATATGAACTTTAATACTAAATAACTTAAATAAAAGACATATTCTCTGTCAGGTGTGGGGTTCGAACCCACGCTCCCTCTCGGGAACCAGAGCTTAAATCTGGCGCCTTAGACCGCTCGGCCAACCTGACTTGCTGCGCTTAGCTTGTAAATTGGCTTAGAAGTGTACACATTTTCAAATGTTATATAATGATTATTTACAAAATATTGTATAATTGTATGTCGTAAAAGAAATAGCCTTATAATATTTGTATTTTTTTGTTTTTTCTGTGGTCTTAAATGTTCTAGTAGTTCAAAAGCTCTTCAGTAGTTTGATAGAATATTCATATTTATCATAATGATAACTACATTGGATCACGATTTAGAATGAATTGATCATATTTTAAATATATTGTATAAATTTGAAGAACTTTTTGTCACCTTTTATATCGGTTTGAAAGGGTTAAGCAATGAAGTGATTTCAACAGCTGATTGCTTTGTTCATGAAAATGTATCCCGTGGCTGTCAAACGCCATATAAAACCAAACTAAACAAATATGAATAAGGAATTCTCGAACCACTTTTCTGAATTCTCCAGAGACTTAATGTTGTGTAGATATTGGATTTTCTTACACAAAATCCTATAGTATATGCTCGATTACTTCCGAAATCTTTCTTTTCCGGATGTTATCGAGAAGTTTGCCCCCCCGTCCCTATTTTTTCGTGGCTTCTGATAATACAATGTTAAAATAAAAACCATATTTTTTGTCAGGTGTGGGGTTCGAACCCACGCTCCCTCTCGGGAACCAGAGCTTAAATCTGGCGCCTTAGACCGCTCGGCCAACCTGACTCTTCGAGGCACTTAGTATTAAATATGCACAAATTAAACGTTAATCATAAATACAATTACTATTTACAATTAATCTTAATTTACCAAAAGAGCTTAACAAATTTTTGGTTTGAATTGATAAGGGTTACAGATTACAGATTGCATTCTTTTGAACTATTTGGTAATTTTGAGACAAAGAAAATAGAACATTAGTCACTAAGACAAAATTTTGTATAGATGTCATTTTTATTTTATCAATTTACCGAATAATCACAGCGAACCGATGAACACTTTAGCTGAAACTTTTCCTCCATGGAATAACTGAGGTAATATTTATCCAAATCGGGAACAGGTAATGTACTAGTGAACAGTTAAAAAAATTTTATTATCAGCTGATTTTCCTAAAATAATAAAAAAATAAAATTTAATTTGCATTGTCAGGTGTGGGGTTCGAACCCACGCTCCCTCTCGGGAACCAGAGCTTAAATCTGGCGCCTTAGACCGCTCGGCCAACCTGACTTTACATTCGTCACGGTACACATGTTATATTACCATATGAAATAGAAAAGTTATTTATAGAACTAGTTAAAGTTGATCCTTTAAAAGGATGTAAAAAAAAGTTTAGTTAAATATGTGTTCTATATTCTACAAAATTTGGCGTTAACTTTGAGAATACTTCATAGGAATTATCCTTTTCTATCATTAATCATATATAATCCTTAGAATATATTCGAATATATTAGAATATATACATACTGTCAGGATTTAAGAAAAAAGTAGACATTAATTCTTTGTCAGGTGTGGGGTTCGAACCCACGCTCCCTCTCGGGAACCAGAGCTTAAATCTGGCGCCTTAGACCGCTCGGCCAACCTGACATTGCGTCTTAGTAAGCAAAAATCTTTATATTAATACTAATTGCCATTTAAGAAATTATTAATAAATGCAAATTTATTAATAAAAGTATTTAATTTAAATACTTAAAGCTGAGCTTTCTCTTTTCATAATAAACAAATTGTAGAATTTAAAAATATAAAATAAACCTTTTGTCAGGTGTGGGGTTCGAACCCACGCTCCCTCTCGGGAACCAGAGCTTAAATCTGGCGCCTTAGACCGCTCGGCCAACCTGACTTGTTGATGTTCACCGTCAAAATAACTTTTTATAAATTAAAGAACTGTAAAATTCTAATGTTTGCGAATTCTACTTTAAAGATTAGATTGAATTTGTTAGATTTTACTATCATGTTTTTGGACAAAGTTTATTTATTGTTGGTGATTATAAAAGAATGTTGTAATGCTGCGTTTTTTATGTCATGCCGTTTTGGTTTTTGTTAAAATGTTTTGGATTTACACTAATTATCTAATTGGTTAAGAAATATAAGTAATGAAGAAGGAATACATCTCCAATTTCCTGACACATATACTGGTTACGCTACTTCCAATCATTACTATGGGTCGAATACTTCGATAATATCTTGTAGTAGAAATTGGGGCAACATACCAGAATTTTGTAGAATATATAAGAATGTTCGTAATCTTTTTTTATTTATGAGAAATTCTTATCCCGAGTTAAATTTTCATATTCTGGATATATAACAGGCGTATCTTTTACACAGGGTTAGTATATTTAATAACTTACATATATGACATTTTGTTCGATAAACATCCGAACTTATCGAATATTATGATACCAAATGATCATTTGTTGGAAGCTGGTGAAACAGGGCTTGAACGCAATTGAAAGAGGCAATTTCTGGCGATGAAAAATTTATCCATTACGACATCTCGAATAAGCAGAATTCTCTGAATTTGGAGAGTCAAGAAATGTCCTATAATAAAGCTGCTGAAATCGGTCAAGACGATCACAGGAGACCTACATAATCTATTAGTTTGAAGCGAATATTGGTCGATATTGTCATCATGACTACGCTTGACTACATAGTCGACTTTTCCTAAATTGCAATTGACGTAATTCTACTCTATATCCATACTTATTGGTATCGATCGATGACTACCCTATC